CTCTGCGTATGCCTCATCGTCCGTCAGAAGGATGTTGTCGAAAAGCACCCCGGCGTAGGGCTAGAAGAGTAGGCATAAGACGAGGAATGTTCCCCTAGATTTGCCTTTAAGGTCAGTTAGACATATAAACTTGGACTTAAACACGAGGCTAGGACTCGAAACTCTCTGTATTAATAATGCCGACTTACAATACATTCCCAATCTCACAAATGCTAATTGAAATTCTGAAATGTGTTTGCGATTTGAACAAATTACTTAAGTATGATCATTTTACTGATTATTATGCTGCCTAGTCTGAAGACATTTCAATTGTGTCAGGACGCCGCCTGTAAAAGAGTTTCATTTTCAGAGCGCTTGCAAAATGGGCATAGTGTAAAAAACGCAGGTTAGGTAGTATGTACTTTTCCTGTTAATTTTCGATGCCCTCAAAAAATTCAAATATATTTCATAAAAAATATGCACTTAAATACTTTCTTTCACTTATCTGATAGAAAATCACGCGTTCTTCAAAACAGGGTACTCGAAAAAGGAGTGTTGTTCAAATTTTTAAAAGTTGCAAATGATGCGATTTTTTACGACTGTGAAATTTTCACCAATAATACATCGTATCTGTCAATTTATTAACGTTGTCTATAAAGTATACAAAAGGATAAATGTTTATTGCAAACTTGTGTGGGAACTATGGGGACTTTTTCATATCGCAAAGGGAATATGTAATTTCCCTTAAAGAAAATGCTTACAGCATGCGGCTTGTAAACCTTAAATTCATGTGTAATAGTCTGTAGGTTTCAAAATTATATGGCAATCTAGAAACTTTTTAAAACCGAAAGATACCCTTTCTCTAAGTATAAATTAAAGAAGGCGTAACTTCCTACCATCGCCGTACAATAAATAGTTTTTTCGTGCATGTTTTCCATAAAATATATTTTAATTTATAAAGGCAGCCAAATTCAATGATTCAAACGCATACTATTTAAGTAATTACTTTTTACTGTACATACGCCTTGTTAGTGGTCAGAATGAGGCTCGTTAAAAAGCCCGCATCCTATCATGACTGAAATATTTTCAAAATAGGCTACACGATAATCAGCATCACAACCTAATTCCATGCCGCAAAGCGAAAAAGTATCAATTTATTGCGCATATGTAGGCATGTTACATGAATTCTGGCGCGTACTGTTTTTCTAATTCTCGCACAAGCCTCCGTCTATGCGCTCATTCTACCGCGTGACACACACATCGGCCATTGGCATTTCTGATGCTCCAATTAATTACAGTAGATTCTCTATTTAACGAAATATCAAGGGAACTTATCAAATGTGTTTTCAATCGAAATGAATTAATTGGATCAGTATTAAGCATTGTTTACCATAAACCATAATCCCGGGGTATTTCATTTATGGCAAGATGTGGACTATTGAAGGAACTTCTTTCTAGATTCTTGCAGAAACAGTAATCTTGAAAAAATGGCTACTTAAGTACTATGCATTTTTGTCATCAGTGCCCGTGTAAACGTAAATATATTCTATCCAAAACATGCACATTAATACCATTTGGCAGAAAATAACACCTGCTTCAAATTTTATATTTAAAGTAACAGTATCTTTCGGTGTTAAAAAACTTTCTAAATTTTTTCAAATAATTTTGGACACTACTGGCCGTTACTAAAGGTGCCCAACACAAATGTTGTATACATTCGGCCTAAGGAGAGTGATATATTTATCTGGACTACGAGGAAGAAATCAACCAGTTCTCATGCAATTTATTTAAATCATGCTATATAGTGTATAGGCAACAGTAATACATTTATTGCGAATGAACACTTCACGGTCTTAAATATTTCATAATTGCAAGAAATGTTTCAAATCCGAAAGGTAAACTTCCTTCAATTTGAAGGCAAACACGCTATTTTAGAAAAAGTAAACTTATTGGGTACACTTTCGATGTTGGTTCCCCAGGTCGTCTTCAGACATGAGTTAATGTGCAAAGAACAAGTAAATTTCAAAAGTGCAGAAAAAATCAATATTCATCTGGTGCGCGCGCTAATTAGCGGTTGCAAGTTGCGTCAGTCTGCATCGATCATCTCAAGTATGAAATTGTTTACGAGGCACATTCCTCTGCCAAATAACTACGAGCAAAAAACTGAATTTAATGTTTTCTTTAAATTTATATTTGAGTTTACAGGGATATAGAACACCAACGAAAAATTGTGATTTCCTTCAGCGCACGTTTTTTGCCAGCCCCCAAAAGGAAACTCATTCAATGGTCGACATCTTGCGTGACGGTAATACCTTGAGAAGAGACTGCGCGCAACTCACTTTTAAAACCCTGCTCGGGTAATTTGTTCGTTTAGATAACATGTTTGCAAATGTTGTTTGATAATTCATGAGCTAGAGCGTTTACTCCATTAAGAACCCCACCTTACACTCCAGAGGTTAGGGGAAGCTGTGCGATGGAAGTCGGTGTATCGTCGGAATGCGAGTGAACCGACATGGCGCTTACGAGCAAAAGCCCATTTTTTTTGTTGCACGCAAAACCAGTGTCGAAGAAGGTAAGACGTTCTCTGGGACCCGGAGTGTATTTGTCCCACGTTTCGAACTCTCCCGCGAGCTCTTTGTCAAGGAATAAAAAAATTACAGCTCACAGTGTAATTAAGTTGGTTCTGCCGGGATTGACCTCTGCCCTC